AATATCCATTAGTATTTATATAATTGTTTTCAAACAGAAACGGAGGAAGCACGAACCACGTCTTCTCTCCTGGATATCCCCGAAGCAACGGGCGCTGGTAGCAAGCTTTAACTTCTACCTGAAACTGTGAGGTGGCCTCCCCCGTGAAGGGGAGGTCAGTACTTGGAAGCATTTGACAAGTACAATGACAACTATACTAAGTATAATCAATGTTTCAATTCCTTAAGACCCTCATATAGAGTGATATCATAATATGATTGAGAATTCGTATTTGCCACTTATTATCTCTATAATAAGTAAATTCATTAATTTGTCGGCTCGCGACCCCCTTTCATATATTCCTTTTCATTCATCATTTGTACAACCCAACACATGGGTCTTATCATTATTTCTACGGGATTTGCTACCGCTGTCCGAGACCTCATGAGGCTCTCGGTTCGAACTTCAACATCCCGCCTCTGGTCTCATACCCATCATCCTGTAGGAAGGTAGGGCCCTTCGGGGTCCTATCTTATGTGTTACCGCTACCGAAGCCTAGTTAGGTCTCTGATTCGGATTCCACCTTAACCCGTGATCACGATGCATGTCCATGCTATCCAACCCCACTCTCTAGAGTCGGGAAGAGTCATGGTCCTTATTTATTACCATAATTTACCCGGCTATCCCCAAGGACTACCGAACACACCCGTAGGCCAATCCTATATCTAGGATCAATTTATTATTCACTTTATCTTGGGCATCCCTTAAGGCCTACCCCTAGTATAACTTAAAGATCATACTTATCCACCTTAAAGTATCTCTAAAGACTACCTAAGGTTTAACAATTCACAATCCAACCTTAGGATCATTTCTAGCGTAATTACTTATCCAATTCCCCGACTAGTATCTTAATACTAGTCGGATAAATTCTATGAATCCAAGTTCTCAACTCATAGCCATATGGACAATTCCAAACTGATTTTTCCATTGAAAACATCGTTTATATCAATATACAAAATATCGCTTTTAATCACTCATATATCCTGATATGAAGTAAAAAGCATATTTCAACATAGGTTTCATAGTTAATTCCATTTTCAAGTCAACATATTCATAAAACATGATCATACCCAATTTACTCTTAAATTTGTATATCATTCTGCTTTTCCTTATAGACCATAGTCTTCTCATTCTTAGGCATTATTAATCATTTTATAGGCATTATTAATCATTAATAACCCATAAAAACACATTTAATTAATTTAGGCAATCTCATGAAATTAACTCACTAATTATAAGCAATATAGTCAGTCATCCTCACCTTATGAAGTGTTGCGATAGTTGCCTTTGTTAAACCCTTCGATCAATCCCCTTTCTAAACCGATTGAACACACAAAACTGGACTGCTGGGCAAAAGCCGAGCGACTTTCTCCAGAAGCCGGGCGGCGTTCGTCTTCTGCAGTGTCAGGAAGCTCCCTATATGTGGCGGTTTCCGGCAATTTCGACTCCTATCGATTCACCAACTCTTCTAAGTTAATTAACACCACTTTATATCAATATTCTACACTTATAAACGTGTAGAACATCATGTTTAGTCCAACATATGATTTCTTTAAAAATCATACAACAAAAACTAGTTAGAAGAACTATTTGAGTTCTTACCTTTATTTCTAACCTTTTTGTGTTGGGTTTTCTTTCTTGAGACTTCCTTCAAGCTATGGCTTGTAAGAGTCTATACTAAGAGATCTCCTCCTTGTGGTTGGTTCGAATGGAGCAATGATAGGGGAGCACTCATACTCCTCTAAGTCAACTAATGCAACAAAGGGGTAGGGTCTTGGGGGTGTGGCTTTGTCGCTAGGAGACTTCCCTCCTCCATTCATCCGCCCTTCCCCTCCTATTTTTGTCCCACTACCAATTATTTGGGAGTTATTTGACTGGTAGGATACCCCAAGTGGGTGTAGGGAGTCCCTCCCAATTATTCCTGCTATTTCTTGCAGGTTGGGTCAAAATAACACTTGCGTTGTCCAAATATTTTCCTCAACCTCGGTTGACATTTTATTGGGCTTCTATAATTATTACGATGACCCAACTAAATATTTGGGAGCCAAATCTCAATATTATTGGCCCGATAAATACTTTAATTAATCATTCATTAATTAAATATACCAATCTGTTACACGAAATTATTCGCTAGAAAATTCAAATACATACTGAATATTAAATTCAAGTACATCCAGGTGCGGTGTCACATGTACTCTGTCAAAGTAACAATCATTAGGAATACCAACGGTCCAGTAAACATCCTTGATGGATGAGCCTGCCATTCTTCACCAGCATCCATCAGTGACTTTCTTGTGTACTTGCACCAGTTCAGATTTTTAATATCTTCAACTTTCACTAAAGACAGCAATATTTTGAAATTGCTTCTGATACTGTGGTTGCCTCTGATTAGGCAAGACACCGTAAAGACAACAAAATTTCTGATGAAACGATTTCCACACTCTTGATCCTCAACCATTTTCTGAATCATCTTTGTGGTTTCAGGACTTCCTTTATCAATTCCCCATTCTTCTCTCCACTGCTTCAGTAAATCGTTGTATTCTTCAGTTTCATTCTTTCCATGGGCTTCTTAAACATCAATAGCCCCCATTGGCAATCCAAATACAACTTTAACATCTTCATCTTCAATATCTAACAACTCACCGCTCGTGAGTTGTAGTTGTCCTGAAATAGGTCTGAAATTTTCCAAGATAAACTGAACAAAGTCTCCATAAAATCTTTCAAAGCCTAGGTGTAGTAAGCCTCCAAAGCCAATCCTTCTCACTGCTTCCTTTTTATTATCATCTAGTTGTTTAATCAACTTTAGGAAAGGAGCTGGTCCAACTCTTATTCTGAGGTTGATTAAACTTGACCATTTGCTTCTTTCTTCCTCTTCATCTTCATCTGACTGTTCGGGTGCCTCTCTTTTCTTCTTTTGAGGGTTTTTTTCTTTTTCTTGTTATTTATGCTCTGGTTATTTCTGGTTTATGATATTCCAGCAATAGGATTGGTTCATGATTTTCTGTTTAAGCATTCTCATTTTGTGCAGCTTCAGCACTTCTCATATTCCTAGTGTCATTCAAAATAATATTAAGAATTATAGTTGAGTGACATGTTATTCGACACGATTTACATAAGTTACATACTATTATAAACATGTTACATAACTACTAACCAAAGTTACATTACTCACAAGTACTTAATCAATGTACACTGGACTTGGTTTCAGTTATACTAATGCACAAGAGTTACACACTAACATACAGAAAGTTACATAACTGCTAACAAAAGTTACATTACTCACAAGTATTTAATCATTGTACACTGGACTTGGTTGCAGTTATACTAATGCACAAGAGTTACACACTAACATACACAAGTTACATAACTGCTAACAGAAGTTACATTACTCACAAGTATTTAATCATTGTACACTGGACTTGGTTGCAGTCATACTAATGCACAAGAGTTACACACTAGCATACACAAGTTACATAACTGCTAACAGAAGTTACATTACTCACAAGTATTTAATCATTGCACATTGGACTTGGTTTCAGTTATACTAATGCACAAGAGTTACACACTAACATACACAAGTTACATAACTGCTAACAGAAGTTACATTACTCACGAGTATTTAATCATTGTACACTGGACTTGGTTGCAGTCATACTAATGCACAAGAGTTACACACTAACATACACAAGTTACATAATTGCTAACAGAAGTTACATTACTCACAAGTAGTTAATCATTGTACACTGGACTTGGTTTCAGTCATACTAATGCATAAGAGTTACACACTAACATACACAAGTTACATAACTGCTAACAGAAGTTACATTACTCACAAGTATTTAATCATTGTACACTAGACTTGGTTTCAGTCATACTAATGCACAAGAGTTACACACTAACATACACAAGTTACATAACTGCTAACAGAAGTTACATTACTCACAAGTATTTAATCATTGTACACTGGACTTGGTTTCAGTCATACTAATGCACAAGAGTTACACACTAACATACACAAGTTACATAACTGCTAACAGAAGTTACATTACTCACAAGTATTTAATCATTGTACACTGGACTTGGTTTCAGTCATACTAATGCACAAGAGTTACACAATAACATACACAAGTTACATAACTGCTAACAGAAGTTACATTACTCATAAGTAATATATTTTCCCATATATCTTACTACTGATAACATACATATGACATATTGATAACAATTGATAACATAAATTTTACAAAAGCCACATGAACGTTTATACTTTATAATATTGTCAGATTCCGCAGATGCAAAAAATGAAACTAAGATTACATTATTCATACATTTTAAGTTACATGCATTTCGATATTTACAGAACAATAACATATTTAACACCAAAATAAACATATTTTGATAATAAAAAATCAATCGCATTGTTTAATCATCTATCTGGCGATGTAGATCTTGTGATATTGTTGATACCTGGTAACTGATTTCCTGTTAACCCTAGCCATCTCGAATCAGGTTCTTAACTTCAAAAATTTGCTATGGATGGTGTTAATGTCTTACTTAGCTTCTGTTGTTTGTTCACAGAGATATGGAACTTCGCGAGTCTGGTTCGCAAAGATGGTTTCGTGAATTTTTTTTAGAAGAGTTCCGAGAACGATATTGGAGAAGAATGAAGTCTTGGGGAACGATGTTTTGGAATTCGTAAAGACAAAAAGTAAGTAGTGGCGTAGTGCAGCCGAGAATAAAGCCTGAAGAGAAAAGATGGGAGAGAGAGAGGGAGTTGCCGTTGGTTTGCGTGCTTGCGCGTTTTTTTTAATGCAAACTGCGTCGTTTAGCCGCGGGAGTAGGATGCCCATGGTGGGCCGCTCCTATGGTATACGTACTGGTCACCATTTTGCTTTTGCATCAACGGGATGTGGCACATAAATACCTAGCAAATATATTTTCAGTCCCTGCAATTATAGTGCGTTTTGTTTTACACCCATACAATTTTTGTTTTTTATCCTTGTAATTTATGTTATTTTTGTTTTAGTCCATCACCGATCCTAACAATTTCTGTTTGAAGGAGGGCCCAACGCTTAGGCAGGGATTTTAACTACAATATTGTGCTGATACATATGAAAGTATGACCTCAAAGCTTAATTTTTTTTTTGCAAACAAATAAAACATCTTTGAACATGGTTAAATAGTTCCACAGAGATGTTCCAACTCAGATTCAGATCATGCCCCCTCAGCTGAAGTACTTTTGGTACAGTGAATTAGCAATGGCTAAAGCATCGCCTTGCGCCTTCACTGGGTAAAGCTCTGTACCTCTCTGCCATTGGTTTGAAAAAGCAATCCACTCCTTTCTCCATTCCTCCACCTTGAACTCCACATTTTCCTCCAAGCTCCTTGAAAGATGACCGAAATACATTGCGGCTCGTGGCAGATAGTAGCTCTCCAATAGCCCACTCCAGAACTTATTAGCTAATGGTCAGCAACCGATGAGAAGTGTTTTATTGTATTACAAAACATACTAAAGTAAGAAGATGAGAAAACAATGGAAACAATGAGTTGTACCATAGTCATGAAGCTTGCTTTGAATGTACTCTGTAGTATCAAACCACATCGTCACTTGTGTCCTAGCATTCCATTCATACTAAAAGAAAAATGATGGATAATTAAGGGGGGAAATCCAGATAAACAAACTCTGCTTTATGTCATTTAATTACCATAATCATACGATTCATACATAGATTACTGTCATAACCTGTTTCATCTCGTCGGGATTTACAGCTAGGCGTTTTGCACTTTCAAGCCAGGTTCCAAGTAGAAAACCTTCATCGGCAGCAAGAAGTGTGTCAATGTCTTTGATGAGTTGCAGGAACATGTGACTATGAAAACTCAAAGATTTGGCATCCTTCTCTCTGAAAGCAGCTATTGCATCTAAATACACCTGGTTTGCAAGCTTGGACAGTGACTGTCTGGTTAAGTCTACCAAATCATATCTATTGGAACCAAACCAACACCAATGTCAGAGAAGTTCACATATTAGAATAGTGATCATGTGGGGACCTACTCCAGCTCAAGAGAGAAAACAACAGAATAAAACTTGTTTATAGAATGCACTGAAAAGGTACTGCAAGAAGGAAAATAAAAAAAGAAGAAAAAAGGTACTAAATTTATTTCAACGGAATTCCTTTTCACTAAAATGCATGTCTCCTTTTCTTTTTGACTTTGATCTCTTTTGTATGCGTCAACAACGCAATCTCATTAATCATTTTTTCACTAATTAGAAATTAAACCCTAAAGTTAATGCAGACTAGGTACTGAATGCACCACACTCTCATAAATGTACGAGGTGGAGATTAATCCCCTGAACAGGTTAGGGATGCCTCTTTCCAGTCAATGAGCTAGAAACTCATTGGCCATTCACTTTTCCCTTTCTGATGATATTTGGATGATGAAAACATGGTTTGTTCCTCCAATCGTAATGATAGGTCAATTACAAATGGCATTTATTGAGAATGCAAAATACAGGTCACGTTTCTTCATATTACCTGTAGGTGAGGCTTCCGGCAAGCTCGACTCCTGCATCAAGGAATAATTTGAGTGCCTTCAAGACATCCTTAGTAGAATACCATAAATGGGGTTGAGGCAAGGGAGAGCTGGTTTCTAGGAGAAAGAATCTTCTCTTCAGATGTTTCACAAGAGAAGGGTCTCTATGGTCATGTTCAGGCATATCAGATCTGGTATCAAGTGATGGATCCCAATCAGGAAATTCTACTATGTAATCTTTGTTGTGGTCCTGCATTTAATAATGTTGGTTTTCCTTATTAGTGAATAATTGCTAACATTCCCAGATTGAGCGAGGATGTGGGGGGAATAGCAGATATTGTTCTCAGCGTACTTCATGGAATGGAAATTTATGAAAATAAACCAGTATTCTGAGAATTAAAAATTACTTTGCATTGGTACTTCTTTTGAATCATGTAATAGGTTCCTTGAGAGCTATTCTAGTCCTTTGAACAAAAATGATTGCTGTGTTTATTCTATCAGAGCACTTGCAAAAAATGTCTTTCAATTTGTAAACAATAAATTTTTCAATGTTACTTGGCCATAATGGCCGAAGGGCAATATGCTAAGTGGAACATACAGCAATTCCATCTGTGCAATTGTATACTGTGTGATAAAGTATCTCCCAAGCAGCTTCAACTTGACCAACTCCTTTACCATATCTTCTAGTAGCATAGGATTTCAACCATGTCTATTCAAAAGAAAACATAATATAATTCAGAAAAAAAATATAATAATTACATAAATAAATTGCAAGCTTTTCTACTAATGAAAAGGGAAGGAAAAATACAAGAACAAACTCAATATATAGATAATTGTCAATTCAAATATCAACCCTATCCCTCACAACTTCTTTTAAGCTTTTAAATCAAATGCCCTTCCCGAAGCAACCTTCTTAAGAAGGAATAAAGGGATGGTATTAAAATCCATCATTGGCATAGGTTTGTCCACTTGCTTGGGAAATATCCAAAGATGGTAATGACTAATGAGTTGAGATAGTTGCTATGGTCATGTCGGAGAAAGATATAGGAAAATCAACATCAAATCAGTATATATACGTATAAGGATCTGATGGTGTGAGAACCATACATTTAACAGAGTTTAGAGGAAGAGAGAATTGCAGACTCAACTGCCTACTTTATTCTCAAACATATGATGGTATTTATAAAATCATTGGGAGCCTAAATAATTATTATGATACTAATTACAAAGATATGTAACGGTTAAAACTGAAATTGTAATAATTGAAAATATTACTCCCTCCGTCCCGGTCATTTCTTCCGGTTTTGACCGGTATCGCAAATTTAGGTAGTGGGAATAAAGTGAAAATGTATGGTTGTAGTTGTGTAAGAAAAATGTGAATGAATGTGAACCACATTTTTTCCAAAAGTGAAAGTTGGAAGAATTAATTGGGACGGCCCAAAAAGGAAAGTTGGAAGAAATGACCGGGACGGAGGGAGTATAAATTAATATTTTCTGGATTCTTCTACACGCCCCCGCAAGCCAGGTATTCTGTCACTCCCAAGAATCCTGAGCTTGTCTCTTAGTAGAGTAAAACGCTGCCTGGAGAGTGATTTGGTAAGAGCATCAGCTAACCGATCATGAGAGGAGATGTGAAGAACTCGAAGAAGCCCACGTTGCACGCATTGTCGGACAAAATGAAAATCAATGGCAACATGTTTCATCCTGGAATGGAAAACCGGATTTGCTGAAGAAGTTGTAGCGCCTTTGTTATCACAAAGTAGTAGCGGGGAAGAGGGAGGCGGATGGCGGAGTTCATGAAGAAGAGACTCAATCCAAAGAATTTCTGATGCAGCAGTAGAGAGAGCCCGATACTCCGCTTCTGTAGATGATTTAGCAATGGTGCGTTGTTTAATGGACTTCCAGGAAATAAGTGATTCACCAAGAAAAATGGTATATGCGCTAGTTGAGGAGCGATCATCGGGATTCCCTGCCCAATCGGCATCAGCATAAGCACGTAGAGAAAGAGATGAATTGCGGCGGAGATAGAGACCATAAGAACTAGTGCCTTGAAGGTACCGTAATAGGCGTTTGATATGCTGCCAATGAGTAACCGTCCGTTTGTGCATAAATTGAGCAAGTTTATTGACAACGAATGCAACATCTGGTCTTGTGAGACTCAAATATTGAAGTGAACCAATGACCTGACGATAGAGAGTCACATCACAAGACCCTGAACTATCAAACAGGGTTAAGGATGCCGAGGGAGCCAGGGGTGTGGATACTGGTTTTGCCTCATCAATTTTCAACATACGTAATAAATCGATAATGTACTTGTGTTGGTCATGAAAGAGCCCATCCTGCGTTGGAGTGACCTGCATGCCTAGAAAATAATGCAAGGATCCCAAATCCTTAATAGAGAATTTTTGCGCTAAGGAATCAATAGTCCGACGAACCAAAGTAGGGGTGGAACCAGTAACAATAATATCATCCACATACACCAACACATAGATATAAGATTGATGTGAAAAGAGTATGAAGAGACTCGCATCCGACACAGATTGATGAAATCCAAGGGAAAGAAGAAACCCACTTAAAGATTGATACCACACCCGGGGTGCTTGCTTGAGACCATAAATAGATTTACGAAGACGGCAAACAGACCCAGAACCATCATTGAAACCAGGAGGTTGTTTCATGTATACTTCCTCGTGAAGAGTCCCATGCAAAAAGGCGTTATTAACATCAAGTTGATTGATCTGCCAACCATGAGAAAGAGCAATAGTCAGGATAACTCGAATGGTGACCGGTTTGATTACTGGGCTGAAAGTTTCAGAATAATCAACTCCTGGGTGCTGATGAAAGCCCTTAGCAACCAACCGAGCTTTGAAACGATCCAAGGAACCATCCGGCTTGTACTTCACAGTATAAACCCATTTGCAACCAACAACATTTTGACCAGGACAAGCTGGAACAAGATCCCAAGTTCCCTGTTTAACCAAGGCTTCAAATTCTGCTGACATAGCATCCTTCCATTCTGGTACCTGTAAAGCCTGAGAAGCACAAGTAGGAATAACATGATGAGGTAAGGCGGAATGAGTGACAAGATTAGCTTGTTTACGAGGACGAAGGGTCATGGGATGAGTACGTTTGGGAGGGGAATTGGTTGGGGTGATAGTAGGTGGTTCATTGAGTGAAGTTTGAGGAAATAGTGGAGTAGATGGTTTTTGCTTAGACCGACGTTGATAGGTGATGACAGCAGGTGGATTTTGTGGAGGTGGGGTTGTAGGGGGCGACGTATTAGAGGTCGAGTTTGAACTACCAGGAGTGCTTTGCTGAGTCGGAGTATGAGAAATAGGAGATGTCTTTGCCGCTGGTGTACCTGAAAGAGGAAGATAAGAAATAGGCGGTTGAAGCCCGTTATCAATCTCCGAGGAGAGATTAGTAACAGGTGTTGCAGTCTGAGAGAAGGGAAAAACAGACTCATTGAATACAACATGCCTGCTAATAAAAATACGATGGGTAGCTGGGTCAAGACATCGATATGCACTCTGCTGATCACAATATCCTAGAAAAATACATGGTTTGGATCGAGGTTCTAATTTGTGGGTTGTGTAAGGACGCAACCACGGAAAGCATTGACACCCAAAAATAGCAAGTTTTGTGTAATGAGGTGGTTTTTGAAAAAGCTTTTCAAATGGAGTGCAAAAATTGAGAGATGTTGCAGGTTGTCTATTAATGAGATACACTGCAGTTTGAAAAGCATAAGACCAATATTTAAATGGCATGGAGGCATGATGAAGTAAAGTGATCCCTGTTTCAACAATATGACGATGTCGTCGTTCAGTGAAACCATTATGTTCCGGAGTATAGGGAGGGGTTAATAAATGGGAAATACCACAGGAACTCAGGAATTTCCCTAGGGTGACATACTCACCTCCCTCATCAGAGTAAACCATTTTAATATTTTTTTGAAAAAAGTTTTCTACAATTTTCTTAAATTGTTGAAAAATAGAGGTTACTTCAGACTTATGTTTGATGAGATAAAACCAAATGTATTTGGTATAGTGATCAACAAAAATAACATAGTAACGAAAACCATCTACAGAAGTAATGCGAGAAGGACTCCAAACATCTGTAAAAATTAAGTCAAGAGGGCCAGAACTTGAAAGTGAAGATTTAGCAAAAGGTAACTTGTGACTTTTATTACTTGCACATGAAGTGCATAAAGAGATATCGTTAGTAACATTGTTAAATGAAACACCAAGTGAAGAAATAACTTTTTGAGTTATAGGAAGAGCGGGGTGACCTAAACGGCAATGCCATTTATTAAGAGAATATTTTGTAGTAACATTAGCACATGGAGATGAAGGAATCGGTACATCCGGCAGGCTGTAAACATCCCCATTATTCATACCCCGTAACAAAATTGCTCCCGTTCGCCGGTCCTTTACAAAACAGAAAGAGGGGTGAAATTCAATTAGCACATCATTATCACGACATAATTTGACAACAGAAATTAAATTAGTATGAATTGAATGAACAAAAAGAGTATTAGGTAAGGAAAGAGAATGAATATTCATATTTCCAACTTGTGCAATCGCAAGACCTTTACCGTTACCAATAACGAGGGAGTCTGTGCCAGTATAATCTGAAGCCAAGGTGAGGTTATTGAGATTATTGGTGACATGATTCGAGGCTCCAGAGTCAAGCAACCACCCATTTCTATTGGTCACCACAGTATTGGCTTGAGGAGGGTAATTTTGTTGTTCAAATCGGTGCCAACAGTTAAGAGCGAGATGATTCGGTTTGCCACAAATTTGACATATAATTGTACCTCTAGAATTATTATTGCTCCTGAAATTGTTTCTGCCTCCCATATTATTACCTCCGGGATTATTATTCCCACGTCGGTTTGGGTTGTGGAAATTATTGGGCCCCTGGTTTCGATTATGGCTCGTGGTATTGGGCACATTAAGTTGTGCTGCTGGTCCTGGGCCCAATATAGAAGGGTTGTGGAAATTATTTTTGGGCCTGATTACCTCTTGGACCATTGGCATTCCTTCGAACGGCTAAAGCAAGAGACTCTCCCGTCTCCGCGATAGCTGCATTAGCAGTCAGCACGGGATTGGAGTTCAGCGTCTCCTTCCGTCGAAGCTTGTCTTCGTATCCTACGAGCAGCGTATGGATGGTTCCAAATCGAGTGTCGCCTGAGGTCTGGATGGAGTTCGTGATTGCTTCGAACTCTGGCCAGAGTCCTTCCAGAGCTTGAATGAGGAAATCATCATCATCGACCGGTCGTCCTGCCAGCGCCAGTTCGTCAGCTAGGGTCCGAAGTTTGTGAAGGTACTCCCCCACTGGTTGATCTCCCCACCGCATGTGTCGGAACTGGTCTTTCAGGTTTCGAATTGCAGAAGGTGACCGAGTCCCATAGAGCCGCTCAAGTGTCTTCCAGACATCAGCAGAAGTGCATGCAGAGCCAATTAATGGCTTGCAAGCGGAGCTAAGGGAGGAGATTAGGGCGTGGCGAAGGAGTTTGTCCTGTCGGTTCCATCTGAGACGGCCGATTGCATCGCTTTCTGGTGGCAGTGTAGTCTCCTCCTCGATATACTGGCTCAAGTCTTACCCAAACAGAAGGTCAAGAACCTGGTCACGCCAAACCAGGTAATTAGAACCGTCTAATTTTTCTGGGAATTGACTGGGGTTAAGCATTATGAGTCCATCAGGGGT